AATCTAATATTTTCCCCACAGATTCTAATTTATATTTAAAAACTAAAGATACCACCCATGACTTCCCTAAGCAAGCCTGCTTTTCCAGATATATTCATTAGTCCTCCAATAAGAGTCTCTACCAACCATTGCCATGTTCAGAAGCAATTGACTTTCTCTGTCAGAGATTTTTAAATTTTGAGTATTAACACTTTTCCCAGGTGTGGAATGGAACTGGAGAGAGCACAGGCTTGGTATAGGACAAGAAGTGCTTTGAGGAGGATGCCCATGAAGCTACAACTGTTATTTGTAATACACAGTTATTTTAAAACTTGCCAGTGACTGCATTTATGTTTGCTATATTATTCTTTTTACTCTTGGAATGCTTGGAATTTTTCATATTTTTAAAAATCTGAGGCTCAGTGAATTGGGGTTATATTTCTAAAAGCATACAAAATTCCAACTTAAATCTGGCTGATGCCAAAGCCCACACTGTTTTCCTTCTGCTCTGCAGTACCCATTAGTAATGCCCCTCTGTTAAGTTATACCAATTTTCATAGTCGAGTGCTTTAGTCATAGGTATATAGCCCTTATTTTATTCTCCTTACCCTCAAAGTAGTCTTCACAGCACACTGTTTGCCATCTAACTTTCAGCAGCACTACAAACACAGCGATGATGGGGAAATACCATCAAGAAAATTAAAAGCAAAGATCCTTGCTTATGAAAATTTCCAATCAACTGTCATGAAGACTTGTCTGGGTATTCCCCAGTGTGGATTAGCCCTGCATTTGTATTGATAATTCTTGGTAACTGCACCAGTGCCAGTGCCAGGATGCAGAGAAAACACTTATTAGTGTGGATTTCTTGGCTTTGATGCTTGGCCAAAAAAAAAAAAAAAATCCCTGGATCCCATCACTGTCCTGTGAGATTGCAGTGACAGCTGTATCATTAATGACATAAAGGACTTTATGTCAGCGTGGACCAGACCCGTCAGCTTGAAAGCAGATGAGGAAGCAAAGGTATATCTGCAGAGGGCCGTGCAGGTTGGAGACTTGCAACAATCCTCAGAATCTGTAACTATGCCTAGAGGAACACTGTTGGTCAGAACATTTGCCATATGTCGGCACCAACCAAAACATATTCCTCGGAAATTCTCCAAGTCTCAGAATAAGCACAAGCCAAAGGAGGAGGAGGAGGAGGAGGAGGAGGATGTCATCAGTGTGGACTAAAGGATGCCCACCTTGCTGGTAAAACACTATTTCTGGGTGTGTTTGTGTGGGTACTTCTAGAAGGGATAAGCAGTTGGATCAACAGACTGAGTGAAAGTCAATAATCCATCAATGCGAGAATATCATACAATCCATTGAGAGCCTAAATGGAACCAAAAGCAGAGGAAGGGGGAATTGTCTCTCTCTGTGTGAGCTGGGACATCCAGCTTCTGCCATCAGCCATCAGTTCCCCTATTTCTTTGGCCTTCGGATGTAGACTGAATTTTGTCACTGGCTTTCCTGGGCCTCTAGCTTGCGGACAGTAGATTATAGGATTTCCCAGCCTCCATAATGAGGTAAGCCAATTCCTTTAATTAATCTCAATAGAGATAGATGATAGATAGATACATAGATAGATAGATAGATAGATAGATAGATAGATAGATAGATAATGATTGCATGGTTAGATAAATAGATAAAAGAGAGATATAAATGTAATATGTATGTCCTGTTGGTTCTGTTTCTCTGGAGAACCCTGATAATGCAGAAGGCATGGACAATGATCGTAACACTGATACCATGGGCAATTAACATGGCTTCCAAGTACACGTGTAATATAATCCAGAGCAGACAAGTCTGTGTGCTGAATATTTGCTCTTTTAACAAATCTCTCTCTCTCTCTCTCTCTCTCTCTCTCTCTCTCTCTCTCTGAATCTAATAAAATTTACATTTTGTGGATTATAGAAGTACCTATGGTGGATGTATTAGTTTCCTAGGTAACATAACAAGTATCACAATCGGGGTAGCTTTAAACAACAGAAATTTATTATCTCATGGTTGTGGAAGCTAGCAATCCAAAATGAAGACATCAGCAGGGCTGTGCCCTCTCTGTGGGCTCTAGAGGAGCATCCACCTCCTCATATCTGTGGCCCTTGGTGCCCCTTGGCTCTAGCACATGGCTCTCTTCTGCCTGTGTATCCCTGCATCATCTTACCTCAGTGTCTGTCTTTGTGTTCAGATTTTCCCTTTTTATAAGGACTTTAGTCATACTGGATGAAGGCCCATGATAATCACCCCATTCTAACTTGACTACCTCTGTAAAGACTTTTTTTCCAAATAAGGTCACCTTCTGAAATACTAGGGAATAGGACTTCAACATAACATTTTTGAGGGACACAATTCAATCCATTAACAAAGAGAGAGCTAAAAAATGTAAAACGGGAGACCTTTTAATAAGTAATATTTTTAGCCGAGCATGGTGGCATACACCTGCAATCCTAGCACTCGGGAGGCTGAGGCAAGAGGATCGCTGTGAGTTCGAGACTAGCCTGGACTACATAGTGAGTTCCAGGTCAGTCTCAACTTTTTGAGGGACACAATTCAATCCATTAACAAAGAGAGAGCTAAAAAATGTAAAACGGGAGACCTTTTAATAAGTAATATTTTTAGCCGAGCATGGTGGCATACACCTGCAATCCTAGCACTCGGGAGGCTGAGGCAAGAGGATCGCTGTGAGTTCGAGACTAGCCTGGACTACATAGTGAGTTCCAGGTCAGTCTCAACTACATAGTGAGAGCCTGTGTCAATA